AGTTGTTCTAGAAAGAGACAGACTCAGGCCAGTTGTGTAACCTTGAGTAAGTTACATGATCTCTCTGAGCTTCCTTTCCCTCACGTAAACCAAGAAGGACGCTACCTAGTATGGAGTTTTGTTATGAGGACATGCGAACTCTAAACACATGACAGATACACTACAGACATTTCATAAGTGAGAGCTAAACACATTATATCTTTGCCTTATTTTAGAACAGAGACAATAAACTAAATACAAAAAATGAGCGAATCAAATCACTAACAAAAGGGCAGCATCCTATTGGAAGAGTAATTTATTTTTAGTTTTTCTACCTAGAGTTTGCTAAGTCTTCTGATTAAAACTGTGATACTTGCAGCTTGTAGCCAAGCAGTTTTGTACTTATCCTCAGTATTGAATATGCTGAGTCATATTTTTAGATAATTTAACATTATGCATTTATTTTTAGAGCCTAGCCACAAGTACCTGACCCATACAAATCAACATAAAAGCAGTTCATATTAAAAGAGCCCATTTCTAACTCTCTGTAGCTGGCACTGCCATTCTTTAAAGTGAGATTTCCTAAAATGTGTTATCTATAAAACTAGTTTCAAATAAAATTGGCACCCAAGATGTTAAGGGGGGGTGGTGAGCACTCCGTGGTCAATTAAGTTTGGGAAATGATTGGGTGAGTGAGGTTAAGAAGGGTGTTGTTTTGGCTTTGCTTTATTCTACTCTGATTTTCCACATGAATTTTCAAAACCTTCAATATTCTAATTTGTATGATGAATGTCTAAAAAATTTACAGGAGTACTATATTTCCAAATTTGTTTGCACATAGAAGCAATATGAATTGCATTTTGACAATAGAAAATTGACATTGTCTTAGGCACAATAACATGGATAACAGGGCAGGGAACACAGCAGAGAGAAGGAAAGAATCCAAAAATGAATACTCTAAGGCAGGAGTCACAATCCTAATGCCTACAGGAGAGAGCAGAGGGAGAAGGATACAATACAAGAGAAGATGACAGGTCAACAGCAAACTGAAGAACACGTGTTCTGTCTACATGATTCAGACTTGTTAAAAATATTCAGTATTTTTAACAATATGGCCTATGACTGTCTGCAGGCCATATTCACCACAGGTTGCAAACATGAAACCCCTATTCTAAGGAGGTTTCTTTTGTTTTTATTTCAACAAAAGCACTAAGTAAAGGAATTTAAAGGGTATCTTTGAAGATACAAATTTAATGTTTGAAGCAAGAGTGAAAAGGATGTGGCATATTTCGAGCAGGAGATACCTTTATCTTTTTCTAGATCAGAGCTACCATTGGCCCCATCTCAAGGTCGGGAGATGAGTTCTCAATAATTTAGTATTATGTGTTATCCACAAACATGTGGATGTGGACAGCTCATGATTTCTAACCACTTATATTTTGCCAGATGCTATTCCATGTGATTTACTTGTTGCTCCTCATTTAATCTTCATTTTGACCCTATTATTATCACCATTTTGCAGCCACAGTACAGGGAGCTTACTGGCTCATAGCAAGAAGCACAGAAGGAATTGAAATGCAAGTTGTTTGGTTTTTAAACCCAGACTCTTAACTACTATGTGAACTCACTCTTGCAGATGTCTTGCTCCTCATTCAAGGGGTATATCCATCTTTAATGCTTTTTCTTCAGATGACAGAAACCCTGGCTAACAGTATCTGGAACAAGTATTTTTCCACCAAAGAATCTGGAAGCAAGCACTCACTGGCATCGGTGTTATTGCTCAGCAATATTGGTGCCACTATTTTCTTTCGTGGTGGCAAAATGGCTAGTTTCCTATTGGGCATCATATATGAAATCAAGAAAATAAGGAAGCCAGGTGCAGTGGTGCACCCCTGGCTTCCTTATTGAAATTTGTCAGCTCAGGAAGTTGAGGCAAGGATCAAGAGTTCAAAGCAAGCCTCAGCGATTTATCAAGATGCTAAGCAACTCAGTGAGACCCTGTATCTAATAAAATACAAAATAGAGCTAGGGATATGGCTCACTGGTTGAGTGACCCTGAGTTCAATCCCTGGTATCCCCCTCCAAAAAAAAAAAAAAGAAGGAGAAGGGTTAGCATCAACTTCTCAGGTCCCTATAGTCATGAAATTAAACCCTTTCTAAAAGGCCTCATAAGCTTTCACTCTGTACTTCATTGCCAGTATGACATCACATGGCCATGTTCAGCTGCAAAGGAGTCTGGGAAAACAAATATTTATCTTTCCCAACATGAAGAGTGGAGGGAGAGAAGGGAAAAACTAGTTGGGAACAGGTGCTGGGTTAGCCAGCCAAGAGTGCCAGCCACAAGTGATTTGGATTGGTTAGGAAAATACCAATAGAATTTCATCATACAGTGTATCACCCATGCTGTGGACCCCAAGAGAGTGAAAGAGCAACAATTAAAGTTTGCTGCAAAACCAGAACTAAGTTTTAGAACTCCTATTATGTTTTAGAATGTCTGCATTGCCTAAAATGTGAAATTATTTCCAACACTTTCCCCCATTAAATCTATCTAGATAATGTGTAAAGATTATTTGACTTTCACACAGATTCTTTTTGTTATGATAATCTTGGTTATTTTTATAAACTGTTACCTCCTTGTGGTTAATCAAAATGCTTTTCAATCCCATTTCAGAACAGGATTGAAATTTGTCAGTAACTAGAAACTAGGAAACTTCAGTGTAACAAATACGAACTACATTGTTTGAATTTATAATCTATTTTCTAGTTTTCACTGGCTTTTCTGAGTCTTTCTACAACTTTAATTGTACTTTTTTCTTTTATATTTTTGTCATGGCACTCAAACTCAAAAAACCTGTTAAGGCGACTACATAATGCAATGTAAAAATCCAGTTAACATATTGCTATGGAAACCAGGAAATAGAAACAGCACTCTAATCATTCATTTGGATTACTGTGGCTAAGTGTGTGTGTAAATTCATTTATTCACCTTTTATTAAAAGCTATTATTGAAATCAAAATTAACTGATCTGTCCAAAAGCAGGCCCAGTGTCCTATATCCAGTAAATCAGCATTTTAGTGTAAACTATAATTGTTTTAAGTTATGCCATGCAGTATTACAAAATCTTTTTTTTTACTTTTTAAAAAAGTTGTTAGTAGGCCTTTATTTCATTTATTTACTTATATGTGGTACTGAGAATCAAACTCAGTGCCTCAAACATTCTAGGCAAATGCTCTACCACTGAGTCAAAACCCCAACCCCACAAAATCTTCAGTAGGGGTATGTTGTTTATCTAGTCTTGCCCAACTGAGGCCTTTGGCATGGTGTGAGGATACCTGCATTGGTATTTGAGAGCTGCGGGCTAACCTTACCTTTCTTACCTCCAGCTGTGTTACCCTCCTAGGAATTTTAGAAACTATTTCTTCATCTATAAATGATTCTATGAGGACTCCATTAATGTAATGGGGACTTTCCTTTTCTACAGAATTGGAATAATAAGATAACCACTTTTGTGTATTCAAATCATTCTGTAGTCTCTGGTAATGTACCTGGCACACACTAAGTTCTTGGAAAATGATAACTAGTCTTACTGTATTTTCCTATTCTCCATTCTATAGAAAATAATACCTGAACCTGCATAGTAACTGTTATTTTGTCCCATAACTGCCAATGAAAAACAGATCCACCTCTCATACCCTGCCATTACTGAAAAAGCCCTTATGAAACTTGGAAAGAACTTTTAAGTTCTAACAGGTAATGGAGTTCCTTAGATCCTACTACCTTTAAGTGTTTGTTTATTCTTGTAGATCAATGCCAATTTTTACATGTAAAATACAAAAATGTATCTTAACAAACGAATCCTAATTCAATTCACTAAGGTTCCAAAACCCTTTAAAAAGAGAAAGCTGTACCAAGAAGTGAGAAGAGGGGAGGGAGGGGGAAAGTGCTGGGGAGTGATATTGGCCAAATTATATTACTATATTGTGTGCACCTACGAATATGGAACGACAGATCCCATCAATATGTACAATTATAGTGCACCATTTTTTTAAAGGTGGGAAAAAAAAAAACATGCAGACTGCCAAAAACTGAGAAAGAGAGAAAGAAAGACCTGAGACTTCAACGTTTAAGAATTAAACTTTTGTTCGGTTTTGTTTGCTTACTGCTATTTCCTTAATTATTCAGTCGGCCTGTTTTTGGCTACAGGGGGCAAAAAGTTAAACTGAACCCTTTCGGAGGTTAAACTCCTCTGTTGTTCTTCCTTCCAGAAATCCGAGTTATTCTATTAGAGGATAACGGTTGCATAACGCAATCTTTGGGACAACCGTCCATCCACTCCTACCACTGTCTCCGACAAAGAATTCCTTGTTTCGGTGGTGCCCAAACCTGTCTGCATACAGGCGTGTGCCCGGCGGCTAGTGGAGGAGTGGGAGAAGCCGAGGTCAGCGCCTAGGGATCTTCCCACTGGCAACGCGCTGGGGTGCGCGGAAGGTGCGGGCCGTGCGCTCTGCGCTCCGCGAGTTGACACCGGGCGCCCGAGCACCAGGAGGGGGAGACTTGGTCCCGCTTATCCCCCGCTGTGCTAACTTCAGACTGCCTTAGCTGAGGGCGGAGAGAGCGCACAGCCAGGGCAAGAAAACTTCTCCACCTACAAAGTTTCACCTTGCCGTGGGCGGGGGAGGGGCGGGAGGAAACGCGACCCCCGCGGGGCCAGGCGCGGCGAGTGGGCGGCAGGAAGGGCGGGGGCCGGTTTCCCCCTCTGGGTGGTGCCAGTCCCCACCTCGGCGGTCCTCCGACCCGCCGACGAGGCGGACGAATTGCAAGCGAGACAAACAGACAGACACGTGCTAGGTCGCACGCGCGGGCGGGCGGACGGGAGAGCTCCTGGGTCCCGTCACCTCGCGGTGCCTCCCGCCTGGACGCGCCCGGGCCGCTGCGGGCCGCGCGCGCCGATGCCCGGCTGAGTCACCGCCGGGCAGCGCGCGGCTGCCTAGGGGCGGAGGCAGCGCGGCCGACGGGCGGGCGGGGCGCTAGGGCTCGGCCCGGCCGCAGGTGACCCAGAGGCCCTCGCCGCCCGCAACGCTCCGAGAGCTTTGTGACCAGATGCGGAGCCGGGTGGAGGGCGCGAGCCAGATGCGGGGCGACAGCTGACCCGCTGCGAGGAGGCGGGGAGGCGCGGAGCGCGCGGGTGGTCCCTACGCCGCTGACTTCTCCTCTGCCGGTTCCTGGGCACTTCAAGGTAAAAAACTACAGCCCCCCTCAGATCCCGCACCCCACCTCTTTTCTGCTTTCTTTTGTTCCCCTAAGAGACCTGACTGCTGTTCCAGAGGATGTAGGAGAGACTTTAGGGGCTTCGGAAACAGAAGGGATGTAGACAGAGGGAGGTGGGAACTAGAATTGGACTTGTCGCTTTCAGGGGTTGTTTCTGGTCACCTGTGTGACTTGGGCGGGAGAGAGGCCGCTGGGGCCATAGGCGCTGAATGACTGTTATGGCCCAGCAAGTTTCAAGGCTGTGATCTGACTCAGCCCTCACAGAAGGGATCCGGTCACCCTGTCCAGGGTGATGCAGCTGGCAAGGTTTGAGCCAAGCCATTTCCTTGTTCCCAGCTCTGATTTATCTGTATTATGTGAGGGTCTTTCCAAGGGGCAGGTGTTTCGGGGACGGTGAGAATTCTTCATTTCTGGCAAACACACAGGGCTTGTGATCCATCGTTTTCAATCATACCTTACCTCTTAAGTGAAATAGATTAGAACCAGAGGTCCCTGTTTCGACTGGTGCTGGTGTTGACCCAATACAGAAAGCACCCATAAAAAGTACAATGCAGAATTTACTCCAAAGTATGGTGGTTTCCCGTTTCATATCTCTTATGTTTTAAAAAGAGCCATTTGCTATTTGGCAGTTGGAAAGGGTTCCTGGGGCTCACGCATGAATAGTTGCCTAGTGGATTTTCCCTTATCACAGTTTTATGTTCAAAGGAGCTCTTGAGCAGAATGAAATATTGTCAACTCTCTTAGGCAAAATAATCAGGATACTTTAATTGCCAAGTTAAGATGGCCCGTGAATATGAGAGGATTGGAAAAGCGGATGCAGGAGGGAATATAGACTGAATTTTAAGAAGACTGTTCACATTTTGTAGCATTGGGTGGAGATTTATTCTGTGGTTTCCATCAGCCAGACACATGCACATTGCCATGCAAATGAATTCAGAAAAACATTATTTTCCTTTACAGCTAAACTATTATAGCTGACTAATGAATTTTTGCTGCATGAAGATGATCTGAAAATGATGTACATCATGATTCTCTTTGCTACTGGGACATAAATTGTGCTTTTATGTGAACAGTGTAAGTGATGCTGGGATTATTTGCAGGTATATAGCTTTCCTTTCCAGCTAGAAGCTTCTTGGGCTTTGTTTGCAACCCGTCAAAATCCATAAAGGAACAATGATGAGGTGCTTTAGTCTCTTGTGGCAAGTCTTTTACTTTTTGAACTGATGAATGACACAGGTAATATTTACATCATTTGTAAGAAATTTTTGTAGTACTAAAAAACGTGTCTGATGGCCTATAAAATATACTGGTAGTTTAAAATTTGTGTTCAGTTTTCAAACTTAACAGAGCATAAGCCAATAGCTATTAACTTAAACATATCTTGTTTTGAGTAAGATGGGATTTATGACAGATAGAAGACCGTCTGTTGCCTACTCCTTTTTCAAAGATGCTTTGTTCTTGATCATTTGCAATACGGATTTATATTTGATGCTTTCAGAATTAGAGGATGAGGTTTATCTGAATGATAAAAATGTACCAGATGAACCATGACCAATCACTGTGAAAGCTCAAAACTAATATTTTCACTACTTTTAAACCTACAATCAGAGAAAAATAACATTTTTCTAAGTAGAGGAAATTCCTATAATTTATTAATTCATTTTAAGACCTTATAAGCATATACCCTACAGTAATCTTGAATTTTCTTCTTAATGAGGGCTTGATTTCTTGATACATTTTAAGAATCAACTGTTGTAGCTGTTGTCAGAAACAAATAGTTCAAAATAGAATTGGTCTAGTTTTTCTTTTGCCAATCTGTATAATAGCCCCAAGTGAACTTTTCTTCTCAAATATGGTTATTTTAAAGTGAATAACTCTGAAGGACACTTTCCTCTCAGGACACCCACTTTGTCTAGTGGCTGCATCAAAGCAATTTTAAGGTAGCACACACATTCAGATCGCCTCCCATCTCTCTGCTCCTTCCTTCTCGTCCTCTTCTCTTTTCTTGGTCACAACCCTTTCCAAACCCTCTGTGTCCACATTTCTCCATTCCAGTTTCCTGGTTTCTTCTTTACTGTCATTACATTTAGTGATTCTCATCAGAGCCATCTATGCTTTCTTTTCCCCGTCCCTGAGATTTCCCTTGGTTTACTATGTTTGTTCATGGGACGCCTAGTTTTCTTATTGTGCTTGCTTAGGGGGAGAAAATACATGCAGAAACTTAAATGCCAGGGAATTTGTTTCTTTTTCTTGGCTGATGTATGTTGGAACTCATGTATTTGACACCAAGCCCTCAGGGCAGAGTTTTCTGCATAGGCTTTTCTCAGTGCAAAATAAATAGTCAGCTCTTAGTAATAAATGATAGGTACGCTGACTAATGTCAATTCAGGATTACTTTGATTCTCTGTTCTTAACAGACACCGAGTTGCTGCCAGGCCTACATTTGCCTCACCAAAAATAACTGAACTTTACTTTGAGTATCATATGTGCTGGGTACTAGGAGTATTTTTTTTTTAAAGGAAATAATGAATGATCTGCCCATCTGCCCTTGAAGGGTTTACAATCTAGTTATGCAGACAGGCATCACATACATAAAATGGAGTGCAAATCCATATAATCTTTAAGGGGACATTATATGAGAAAGACAGTAAGAATATTCCCATTTGCTACTAAGTAACAGAATTTTTTAAAAATCAAAAGATTTGAGTCTAGGCTTGGGATTGTGGCTCAGCAGTAGAATGCTTGCCTAGCATGTGCGAGGCCTTGGGTTCAATCCTCAGCATCACATAAAAATAAATAAATAAAACAAGGATGTTGTGTCCAACTACAACTAAAAAATAAATTTTTTTTTAAAAAGATTCGAGTTTAAAGACTTTAAATTTTTCAAGCAGCTTCTTCATGTATCATCTTTCTGATACTGGGAGCTGGGTATGACTGATATTAATAGCTTAATAGTCCCATATAATAGTCAAGGAAACTGAACTTGAGCCCAACCCCATCCTCTCAATAGCACCACATACCCAAGTCATCAAGCCAGGCTCACTCTTGGAGAAATTTTTCCAACGAGCTTATCGGATGGAATCTGTAAGTTAGTGATAGATGATGAATCTAACATTTCCTGAAGTTTTTCTCATCTCCTCCCTCTCTATCTCTATTTCTCCTTTTCTCTTTTTGTAGTCGGACATACCAAGTAAAGGCCTCATTCATATGTGTGGGGTGTTCTCCTGTTATCAGATTAAAAGCTGTGAGTAATTTTGTAATCTGCACTTTCATCAGAGAGCTCATTCTCAGATATCTCTTCAGCTGTGTTAAACAGTTTAAAATATTCCCCTTGGGTTTTGTTTCAATAAAAACATCCAGTAAAATCTGACTACTTTTGCTTTTCAAGGGAAAAAATGAAGAAAGTGTTTTTATAAGCTGTAAAATATAATTGAGAGAAAAATCACACATGTGGCATTATAGCAGGAGGTGTGAGCACTGTGAAATGGGGAACAGTTAACTTTGCAATCACACACAAAGGCATATGCATTTCTTCCTGTGATTGTGTAAGCATGTGCAAGTGTGTTTATGCAGGTTACTCTTGTTGATTTTAAAATCTGTGATAAATTATGTAGCTATAGGCCTCCCAGAAATCATCTAAAGACTCTGGGCCATATACATTATATAATGGGTGATAGAACTTTAAAATGTTCCTTGTAATATAATGAAGGAAATGTGGTTAGAGAATTACCAGTTCTAATGAGAGTCAGGTTCTTATACTCTGAAAATGTGATTGAGGATTTAAGTCATGCAGAATGATTTGTTGAGCACCTACTAGGCTTAGTTCTAGATATCGGTGTTTTAGTAGAGAATAAAGCAGAAAAACAACTTCTGACCTCATGATGCTCTCTTCTGTTGAGGCAAGCGAGCAATAAACATGCAAGTCAAATGTGTTACATGTTAGGTAGTGATAAGAGCTGCATGGCAGAATAAAGTGGTGAAGGAGAATAGACACCATCAAAGCTTAAGAGGGGGTAGGGTGGTGATAGAAAAATTCAGTATCGAGGTCAGGGAAGGCCTCACATCAAAGGTTTGAGCTAGAACCTATGGAGATGGAGGTGAGTCATGTAAATATTGGGAGCACTCCTCAAGAGTTCCCTTCTCATCTTGTTTTTTTTTTTTTTTCCTGGAATCATGCAGTGAACAGCTTGCACAGCTGTTCACAGAGTCTCTGGTTTTAGGAGCCGGGGAATCTGGACAATGTCCACCACAGTTACAGTTTCAAAGATGAAAATAGAGGGGCGACCCATACCTCTTGGTTTATGAGGTATGGAAAGAAATGTACAGCATTTCTCTACATTCCCCTGAGCCATGTTCCATCAGAGATATTGGTCCATTTGGACCTCCTTATTTTCTATACTGTGAGCCCAGTCCACGGCCTTGGTTGCTGATCCCTTCCAAAGTATGAACCTAGAGACAGGAAAGGAGGCGATTGCTGATGTTGTGCAGCCTCTGTGCTGTGTGCTTCTCTTTTCCTTCTCTTCTCTTGCCTTTCCAGTGTTAAGGAACCACGTTTGATTTTCTTCCTCCTTTCCTCCTCCCTCTGTTCTGACCTATGTCCTGAATGAAGATTTGGAAATAGGTAACTTAAACGAGCAAAACTAACCATTTCACTAGGAGCTAGTTATTGCTTGGAAAACGCCTTACCTGAGGGGACAGTCACCATTTGGCATCATGAGAGTCACCTTAAGGCTCAGGATGAGAGGCCCAGGCCCAAGCGGTACTTGGCATCTTTCAAATTTTCAAAAGAAGCTAAACATCTCCCAGTTTTAAAATGTTGATTCAGTGTCTTTAAAACACTGTAAGGCCTAAAGAGACAAAAAGTCTGCAGGCCATATTTGGCTCCTGGGGGTTCCAGGCACACACTCTGGTTCCTCACTATGTCTGCCAAGTTGTCCCCTGTGGAACCTTTGGGTCCTGTAGGATTCC